AATCAAATCAATCCTCTTTGAACACATTTAACGGGCCCAAGCTCCTTGCAAGACAGAGTACTGCAGCAGTCTAGAACAGAGGTTTTGGATCAGCTGGACCTGGATTTGCAAACTAGCATTAATTTGTGAATGCGGGTAAATGATACAACCTCAGTTTGTTTACCTGTAAAATGAGAACGGTAACAACAATATCAAACTCAGTGGGTTCTCACAATAGCATGCAAACCACACAGTACAGTGCCTGGGAAAAGCAACCCTTAATTATGAATTTAAATATTAATTATTGAAGGTCAGAATTATTGTTAAAGCTCACAATCATCTAGATTTACTGAGATCCATGGTAGGCTAAGGAGCGAGACCACCAATTCCAGGTTATCTCATAAAATTAAACCATGATGGTTAAAATCCACCCCATCGTCTTACATTTTTATACTTTGTGTAGTTGTTGAATCTTTTTTTTTGTTCTAAGGATTGAACCCCAGACTTTACACTGAGCTACATATTGGCCTCTGTTTAAAACGTGATTTTTTGAGACAAGGTCTTGCTAAGTCACTAAGTTGTCCAGTCCGGGCTCAAACTTGTGATCCTCCTGCCTCAGCCTCCCAGAGTACCGGGATTACAGAAATGTGCTAATGTCCCTGGCCAGTTGGTGAATCTTTTGAATTTGGAGTGGACAGGGAAGCATTCATACAAAAATTTCTCTCTTTTTTTTTTTTTTTTTAAAAAAAGTATTTTGGTGCCTACCTGAGTCCCTAACAGGGTGGGTCCTGACCTTGTGGGGGTCACAAGGCGTGGAAACAAATGGATGTGTGACAGGGACAGGTCACAAAAGCAGGAGAGGATAAATACAGCTGTGCAGCCCTGCAGACCAAGGTGTTTGCAGCCATCTCTGAAGAGAGTCCGTCTGAGGTCCAGACACCCTCCCCGGGCCCTGGTCAGTGCTCCCTGCTGTCACACACACACACACACACACACACACACACCCCGCCCCCGCCGCCTGCCCTCCCAGGGCTCTGAGGCCGGGAGGGGCCTGTGGGCTGGGCTGGGGAGGAGAGGCCTGCTGTAGTCACCTTCGGGATGCAGGATCACCAGGGACCCTTTATCTGCCCAGGACACCGAGGCAGAGAACGCAGGGCCCCCTGGCCGGCGCCCCTGTCATGACAGGAGATGGTCACGAACAGTGAGTCTCCATTACCCTGCTACACAGCCAAGAGCGGCTCTGCGGCCAGCATTTCTGGCACCAGCATGGGGAAGCTGAAGCGGCAGCTGCAGTGGCAGCTGCGCAAGGGCGAGTACTACATGTTCAGGTCGGCCCCGATCTTCGAGAGCGACTTCATCCAGATCACCAAGCGCGGGAAGCTCACAGATGTGCACAACCACGGGCACTCTGTGACCGTGGGCGGGACCTGCACCAGCCCCATCCTCCCGATCCCCCACATCATGCTCCTGGCCTGGCAGGCCACCAGCTGTGAACAGTGCCGCAGCCAGGCCCCCAAGAGGAAAAACCCACCAAGGCAGAGAAGCCCCTGGAGCTCACCAGGCTCCTCCCCTTGAAGTTTGTTCGGATCTCCGTTCACGACCGTGAGAAACAGCAGCTTCGCCTGAAGTTCGCCACGGGCCGCTCTTTCTACCTGCAGCTGTGTCCCCCCAGGATGCGTGCGAAGACCTCTTCACCTGCTAGGAGCGCCTCATTTACCTCCCGCGGCTGCCCTTTGAAAGTAACAGCGGCACCTACGCCACCCCGGCCGAGGACATTCTCTGCCTGCCTGCGCTGGCCGACTCTGACAGCTCCAGCCTGGCCACCTCGGACGCCCACGGCAGAGACGACTGGGACCAGGTCAGCATCCGGGCTATCTACGAGGCCCCCGAGCTGACCGGGGCCACCTCGGATGCCCACTGCAGAGACTCGGAGCAGGTCAGCATCCGGGCTATCTACGAGGTCCCCGAGCTGACCGGGGCCACCTCTGCTACTCATGCCAGTGGGGAGGGAGACCAGCCCAGCTCTCATACATCCACCGCCACTCCCAAAGTATGCACCCCAAAAACAAGATCCGCGGGGTCTGCCGAAGCGTCAGCACCAGGGACAAGAAGAGAGGCGGCGGTAGCTGGGGTGGCATCAGGCATGCCAAGTGTGGAAGCTAGCCAGATGAACACAGCCCTGGCTGAGGCCGCCTTTATAGGGGAAGGAGGAAGCAAAAGCACCGTGGCAGGCCCCGGGGGTGCAGAGGCCAGACAGCAGGGCACCCCCCAGGCCAGCAAGGCCTCCCTCAAAGAGCACAGGGAAAGGAAGGAGAGGAGGGACAGACCCCTCAGTAGGAGTTCCTATCACCGCAGGACACGGGAAGGTCGCCACAGGACAGAGAGGGACAAGATGGCCCAGAAGTCATCCAGCCAGTCCTTATCGGGCCACAGGACACACAGAGTCAATAAAAATGAAGAAGGCGGCCACCTCAGAGCCAAGAGCAGCAAGCACGGCCACAGCCCCAAAGGCATCAGCCACAGCCCCCTTGAGAAGGAGTCCAGGAGCAAGAAGAAATCCAGGAGGAGCTCATCTGCCGTGAGCTCGGAGTCCACGCCCAAGAGACTCAGCTGGTTAAGCTCTTTCCTGAGGAACATCAGGGCCAACCTTGGCATGAAGGGGGCGGCCTCACTGCATGGTGGCAACGTGGACACGGTGCCCAAGAGGGTGGAAGAGACCGACCTGGAAGCCATGGTGGAGATGGCAGAGTGTGGCCAGGGAATAGAAGTCGGTTCTGTGACATCTGAGGTCTTGAAGACGATGACCTTAAGAAGCCCATGAAACAACACCCAGAGCCAGAAGCCGCAAAGGGCCCCAGGAGCACCCCAACAGAGCCCACTCTAGCTTTCTTAATTCGGGTGAAATAAAGAGCTATTCAACCTGAGAACGGTTTGCCAGGGTCTGTCTGAGAGTGAGTCCATCAGCTCAGTGGCGACCTCACAGAGGACTCTGTGACGTCAACTGCACTGCAGGCTGAGGCCTCCAGATCCAGTCAAGGGGACCCCTCACCCCTGCTCAGCAGAGCTGAGGTGACTGATCCTCTTGCCTGGAACCTTCCTGGCTTTGGTGACCCTGGGCTCTGGCTGGGAGGCACGGTTCTACCTCCATGGTTTCCCACCCTTTTGATAAACTTTTCTGGAGAACAGGGCCACTCAGAGGTCAGGA